AATAATAAATTTGCCACAATCAGGTTTTAGATAACATCGAAGTACAGCAGACAATCTAACAATCTTTAAACATCAATCATTAATGCCTTTCAGTGCAAACAAGACCTAATAGCTGTTTCGTTTGATATCGAAAAAGCATTCGATACTCTGTATAGGCCTCTTATATAAATTTTTAACAAATAGAACCTTTAACGTAAGAAAAAATGGCAAATTCTCTAGGACTTTTAAACAAACTGATGGCGTTCCCCAAGGGTCGGTATTGAGTCCTACACTCTTTATTCTTGTTTTAAACGATATATGTAAAAAGTTTGCACAGTTCAAGTTTGCACTCTACGCAGATAATTTAATAATTTTTTGCCGAGGTAAAGACACTGTTGCCCCTTGCAAACTACTTAAGAATGCTACTGACCATTTGCTTAAATGGACTTTAATAAGTGGATTTAACTTTTTTGTTAAACAGACAAAAATCATTAAGTTTTTTTGCAGGACAGCCAGTACTATAAATCCTAAAATTACCATAAATGGTACTTATCTACCTGCAGTAAAAGTATGTGATTTTAGGACTCACATTCGACAGTAAACTTACTTGTAAATGCCATTTAAAAGATCTCAAACGAAGTGCATGACAAATCTTAACTTAATAAAAACTCTCTCTAATCATCATTGGGGTGCAGACGAAGACTCCTTGCTTCAGATTTATAGATGTCTGTCTTAATCGTTAATCTCCATTGGTCTCTATTTTGGGCGATCTGCATCCAGTCCTTTCCTGCCATTCTCTTAAGGTCGTCAGTCCATCTCATCTGTGGTCTTCCTCTTTTGCTTTTCTTTTCCCATGGTCTCCAGTGTAGAATTCGCTTATTCCATATTTCATCTTTTTGCCGAAGAGTGTGACCGGCGAAGTTCCATTTAAGTTTTGCAACCTGTCTTGATACATCGTTCACCTTTGTTTTTCTCTGATCCATGAGTTTCTTTTCCTGTCTTTAAGACCGATACCTAGCATCTGTCTTTCCATTGCTCTTTGTGTTTTGGATATCCTGTCGATGTTCTCCTTTGTGAAAGTCCATGTTTGTGAGCCATATGTGATAACTGGTAAAATGCACTGATTGAATACTTTCGTTCGCATATATTGAGGGAACTTTTTATTTTTAGAACATATGATAGTTTACCAAATGAGGCCCATGCTAGCATAGATGTCTTATTCGTTCTAAAACAGACTACTGCAGTTTCACTTATATGTCAGCTAGCCCATCAGATTAAAGCTTCTTAATTCTGTACACAACACTGCACTCCGAATATGCCTTGGAGCCTTCAGGTCGAGCCTCGTAGAGAGTTTATACAGAGAATCTAATGAACTTTCCCTCTGGCTACTTCGCCGGCAACTCCTTTTAAAATATTCGTCTCGAATCTCAGCTAATACCGAAAACCCAGCTTATAAATTATTAAGTAAGGAACTTTTAAACTCTCCTTCTCTATTAAACTTTAATCTATGCCACAGTATCTCTCACCACATCTGAATAATATCGATCTTTTAGTCACAACTCCAATATTAATATCACCTAAACCTCACTGGAATAAATTTATAGCAGATTTTAATCTCTCGTTAACTAATTATAATAAGCACCAGACAAATCCACAATTTCTAAGGCAAACCTTTAAAGAATTAATTGCAATAGATAAACAACAGATTTGACCAAATTTTATACACAGATGCTTCTAAGAGTCCTGTTAAATGTGCTGTAACTTCAAACACAGATTTAATCATATCTTGTAATCTTCCGCTCTTCTGCTGCTTACATACTGCTGAATTATTGTCTATTCTCCAAGCTACAAACTTACTATCTCCAGAATATAAAAAAGTAGCAATATGTACAGACTCTTTAGCGTCTATTTATTCTCTCAAAAGTATGTACACGGTACATCCTTTGGTTCAAGCTATTCAAAACTCTTTTAATAGTTTAATCTCAATGGGAGTATCCATAACAATGATCTTTATTCCGTCTCATGTAGGAATCCCTGGTAACGAACTGGCCGACTTCTTATACAACTACATACAGATTTATAGTCGTATTTTAAAAATATCATCCAAATGTCTTGGCAAGATCTTTAGAATATTTGAATAAACAATGGAAGCAGAATCATGTCAACCTTTATTGTAACTGCAACAACGCGAAAAAGCTGCACAGATGTTGTGTCAAACCAAGTTCTGAGGTTCTTTAACCAGGATGTTATTCTTCTTTCTGGACATAGCCTGTCAAATCTTTTTTCCTGCAGGATAGCTTGTAGGAGGGGATATCTGGATTCATTTCTCATGTGCTCGAAGTACTGTAGCTTTCAAATAGAAATTTTTTTTACAGATAAGTTTTCTTCAAACTGCATGCCCATTATTTACAATATTGGACAATGTTTACTGCTCGTTGCGAATAAGATAAAATACATTGCACTAATCGTTGTACAGGTGATCAGCATATGGAATATTATTTTTCTCTTGCAAAACCATAAGTACATTCTACATCAAATAAGTTATGCGGTTATGAGACAAGCGGTAAGTCAAATAAATTTCTAGAACATTTAATTTACTTCTAGAATACTAGGTTTTAGTTCAATACTGTTTATCTCACTACTAATATTATAATGTAATTACTAATTACATCACTAAAAACATTTGGAAAAATTCGAATGTTATCCAGAATTCAAGAATTCAAATAAGTTCGAATTTTTTTATTTTCCTGTGTCCGATTCTTCTCGATCGACGATGATAAAATAAAATGTTGAAGTCGTGGAGTAAAATATAGTTTTATTGACAGCTACTGAATTATTATACTACAGTTGTTGTTGAGGTAAAACTTTATAATAGACTGCGTCCCAAACTAGTCCCGAAGCTATATTTATCTCACTTAAATGCTAGGATTCATTAAATAAGTGTATTGTCCTCTGCATAGAACAAAAACCTTTTAAATTTTGAAATAAATAATTAAATTTGATAATTAATTAACTGTTTTCTACGTTGGTAAAATTTGTACATCACCTGTGCGATATTATTCCTAATATATTAAAATTCTTAAATAATGTTAGTCATATTTTTATATTTCTCATTGTGTAATTGAAACTGTTTTTAAACAAGAATCGTGCTCGAACTGGATCAAGTTTATTAAATACAAAACTTTAGCAAACACCCATTTTTGATAGTTTTAAGTAATTCAAGCGTAATGGTCTTGTTACACATACACAAAATTGTTTGATGACGTCGTAATGTAAGGACGAAGATAAAAAACGATAAACAATGAATTGAGAACTTATTATCACCTTTGTGAAAAATTCTTTAATATATAGGATGTTGTAGGAAGACTCGGAAGAAAAGACAATGACAGAACAGTTGGTCCATTTGGAGAAGACACAATTAACGACAACGGAGAAAGATTGATAGAACTACGTGAAGTAAATGATTTAAAAATTATGAACGGATTCTACAAACACAAAAATATAAATAAGTACACATGGACTCAAGAGACAAGAAAACTAAGATCCATTATTAACTACATTATCATGAACCACAAAAGCTCCATCAAAGTGAAAGACACCAGAGTGAAAAGAGGGGCAGAGTGTGGAACAGATCACAAACTTGTGGTGGCATGGATGGAATTCCCCTATATCTGGACAAAACAAAAACATACATCGATTGTTACAACTGGAATGAAAAAGCTCAAAACAATAAACGAAAAGAGGCACAAATTACATCTATTACAGGAAGAATCAATAAAAGATCTATACAAAAGAAGACTAGACCAAAAACTAGAAGAATTCAGATATGACACGTTAGATGAAATGCATGAACACATAAAAACCTGCCTGATTTCAGCGGCCTTAGAAGCTCTTGGAGAAGACGACCAAAGGAACACCCATCAGAATATCAAATTAAGGGAAGACACATTGAAATGTATAAAAGAAAAGAAAAAACTACACATAAAATACCTAAACACCAAAAAGCAGGAAGACAGACCTATATAGAGCGAAAAACAGAGAGTTTATCGCATAAGATGAAGAATTATGCTCAGAAAACTAGAAGGAGAATATAAAAACAACGGAATGGAAATAAACTTAGAGAAAACCGAATACCTAACAACAGAAAACAAGGATATGAGAAACCTAGAGATAGACGAGGGAAGACAAGTAAATGGAACAGATAAATTCAAGTATTTAGGAACTATAATATCGAACCAGGGAACAACAGAAGAAGATATAAACAACAGACTAAGACAAACAAGAAACTGTATAAGACAAATAAATTCAGTGCTGTGGGATAAGAACATTACGATAAAGACAAAAAAAGAGAATATATAATACCCTGACAAGAAGTATCCTGACATATGGGTCCGAAAACTGAACAATAAATAAGAGAAATAGAAGTAGAATAAGACCAGTAGAAATGGAGTTCCTGAGGAGAAGCTGTAGACTTACAAAAAGAGACAGAATTGAAAACGCAGAGATTAATTGGAGAATGGGAGTGCAACCAGACATAATCGACTATATAGAGGAGAAGAGACTATCCTGGTACGGCCACGTCAGAGGACGCTGGATAAACAAAATCACAGAATGGAGCCCGATCGGAAGAAGAAAGAGAGGAAGACCCCGAAGGTCATTCAGAGACGAAATCGACGAGGCTATGGAGAAAAGAACCCTGCGAGATGGAGACTGGAATGACAGGGAAAATTGGAGAAAACGGTTGAGTAAAGGAAGACAGTGAAAGCTGTGTAAATCCTTAGTAGTAGTAGTATTAAAAAAACATAACCTTTGGTTTATTTTTTCGTTCTGTCTGAACCTGTAATACTAATTATTTTATAAGTAATTCTATTGTTTTGGTATACAGCAATACCGATATTGATACTTATAATATTTACCCCTAATTATTGATATATTCTTTTCTCATTGACGTTTTAATATTTTAGATACTTTTTTGCTGTGTGGCCGACAAGTTATACGTCAGATTTTTAAAACAGGGGAGAATGTTCGATAAATATTGTGTACCAATAACAATTAGCAGTCAGAAATGCCAGCAACGTATACAGAAAGAAATATTAGCTACAAAGATAGAATTTGGTCTGGCATTATTGCAAAGCTTCGTTTGTATAACCGTCCTTATTCCCGTTGAAGGAAGCGAGAAATATACGTTCAATTACATGTTTACAAAAATGTACATAAAGCCATCGTTACAACCAGCCTGGCTGATATTTTTTCACACTTGCCTTTATACTTTGGTTTACTTTGCTACACATTTACCAACAGTTATTATGACAACTAACGATAAAACGAGGTTCCAGTATTTAATTCTGAACGAACGTATTCGAAATTTAAAAGATGAGTTAAATCCTGAATTACGCTACCACAAAATAGTCGCGTGCGTTCGCCACCATATTAATTTAAGAAAGTAAGTAGTATTTAAGATATTTTACAGATTTCTGTATTATTTTTCTGATATCATTAGTCACTTTGGTGTTTTTAAGACAGCATTGAACATATCGGCACTCCAGTGCAAGACTGCAAGTAACTCAAAAATTTTATGAAAATGAAGTAATCAGGAATTCGATTGAAACATGCATATCTATCTCCCTGTAAAGGTAGTTGAATTTCTATCCTTTTGGTAATCACTGTACCAAGGTAGACCTGATTTGCATATTTTTTTATAGTCCTTTTGTTTTAAATTTAAATATAAAAATATTGAAAGTTTACAAAGTACTTTTCTACCCTGTTATGATATACATTGTATTACAAAGCCAAGAATTGCGCGATCAAGAAACATGTGCAGACATAGAAAAATTAAATTGCCGCTATGATCAAGCCGTTTTAGATGGAGGTACTATTTATTCTAGGTAGCTATCTGATTTATTGGAATCTATTAAATTAAAAGTTTAATACCACACAACCCCCGATTGCTGTTGGAATTATATTTTCGTTTTTCTACTTCCCCGATGATTTATTGCCATTCTTTATTGAACCAAAAGCCCACTATAGTTTTTAACGAAAAAAAAATATTTTGTTGCCACAAAACCAAAATAACAACAAGATGACATAATACGAAAAAGACAAACAACTAACAGAACACTTGTCTTACACTTTTTAACAATTTTCTTCCATCCAAATGTTGTTAACTTTAAAATTCTAATACTAAATGTGTATGATTAACAATTTTCCTCTCGTGCAAAAGTTGTTGTAACTTTGAAAACACTATTTTTTTAGCAATATTATTATTTTAATTTAAATTTCTCTATTTTTGGTTATGTCATAAGACTGATAAAAGCATGCAAAATCGATAAATAATTTTAATTTTTATTAAAAACACTTGTATCGCCAATTGATGACCGAAATTAGCAGGATCAATAAAACAAAATCGTCGTTAGGCTTCGAAACTTATTTATTCTGACTTGCTGCATTCTTGCACTTTAGGCTGCGGTATGCCTATTAATTAAATAAACACATTGTACCGTTTATGCCTTTATTCTAATCAAATGTTTCGTTACAGATTATCAAGTTCTTTACTTCATGGTAGTATAAGCTTTTATCTTTTTTTGGGTTTTTTCTATATGACGTCAATAATATTTCAAGTATTTGCAGCTTACTTTATATTAGTTGTAAGTATAAAAAACTTAGAATTTTATATAATAAGGACTTAATAATTAATAGGGACTAACATAGGGATATACAGAAGAAAAAAACTACCTAGATTCATTTAACATTAAACATTCTATCTAAAATGTTTCTTTTGTTTCTAGTCCTTAAACATTCCCAAAATAAAATTGATTTAACCTAAAATTTCTCCAGGAGAGATGTAACATAGAAGATTGATTATGAGAAAGGGATATTTCTTCTTTTAATTGATACTTAATTGCAACATGATTATATATACAGTCAAACATCAAATGATTGATATCGTCAATGTCTTTGCTGAAATCGTAAACTTTTGCAAATTTCAAACAGCTTAACGGACAGAAAACGATTTTATTAGACCGTTTCGTTTATGGCCATCAAAGTAGATGGCACTTTTGTAGCTTTCCAGTTTAAGTGAAAAATAAGCAGGATCTCTGACGATGCAGGGTTATGCTGAAATAACGTTATAACTATTGATACCGATTCATATACGAAACGTTTGACGAATTGTGCTTTGCGCCATAGTTTTCAATTCAACAAAGTGATAGCAAAGCTTTTGCAGAAATGGTAAACTTTTACAAATTTCGAACTAATTAAAAGACAGAAAACGATTGTATTAAATCGTTTCGGTTATGGCCATCAAAGTAGGGGGTCACATAGCTCGGGCGGTAGAGTGTCTGACTTGCACACAGAAGGCCAGAGATCAAATTCCAGTGCCGGCGAGAACATTTAGATATTTTTTAAAATATCTACAAGCCCCAAGTCGACACATACTAAATAAAATGAGTACCTTGGGTAAAACCAAAGGTAATAATAGGCGGTTGAAGCGTAGCACTGGTCTTGTTACCTTTTTTGTATACCGTAGGCCAAAGAGATACCAGAGTCCCTGCTATAATCCCAAAGCCCCTCTAGCGGCATAAAGGAAGACTATTGTTATTAACGTAGATGCCGCTTTTGTAGCTATGCATTTCAAGTAAGGAGGATTAAGGCAATAAGGAGAGATATTAGCTGACCGTTCTGGGTGTGAATTTTTATCTACCCGGATCTCTCACGATGCAGAATTATGATGAAATAACGTTATAGATCCTATTGATACCTATAACACTTTTTGTGATAAATAATCTTATGTTTAATATTCTTTACTTAATTATAGAAAATTGATCCAAGTGGCAATTTCCGTATATTGATAATCACAGGAAGTATTGTGGTTAGAACATTTACTTTTCTTAATTCTACTCAGAAACTAAAGGATGAGGTCAGTATACACTACTTTTCACAAGTTTTGTTTGTTTAATTTTAAACTAGTTGTTCAAATTTATCTCACCACGACTCTATAGCTTTTCACACTTATGAAATAGTTTAAATTCAATTAATGAAAATTAATTCGTTCATTTATTTTTTAAATAAAATACGCTGCGCATAACGTATTCAGGATGGTGAATCGTCAAACGGGCCATAGGAAACTCAATGAGAAATTCTAAATTGTTGAATTCCTGCTTCCCTAATTATTTTACACCAAAAGTCATGGGAAACTATTTGTAGAGGACTCAAATATGTATCGAAAACAATTGTTAAAATTGTTCTACGACTTAAACGTATTCCAAAATTTTGCTAAAATATAATACATTTTTCAGGCCACCCCTAAAAGTCAGGCCAGACGCCGTGAAAAGAATGTGTATTACGTGTTGCGTTTTGTCATATTGACGTTTATAATATTTGACAATATTTAAATAAAGTATATTATATTTATCTATGATTTAAATGGCCAAAATTTTGTGATTTATTATTTAAAAGACAAATTAAGTTGATTAAAAAATGTACTCAGTTAAGGAGAAAAGAGCAATAATAAAAATGTTTATTATGTTTTATTATAACATTTGTTATAGTTTTATGTTTAGAAATTATCGTATATTATTATTAGGAATAAAGATCACAGTAACAGTATATTGGAATTCATTGAATTGTTGTATAACTTAACATGGAATTAAATTTTAGTGTATTAGAATATCTTACTTTAAATAAAGATCCGGTAGTGACAGGAAAAGGTTCGCGCTATTGCCAGAATACAACATTATGCGATTTTTCGTCAACTGAGTACATTTCATTATATTGATCGATTTGTAAACAATATAATTTATTGTTCACGAAGTAATATTGTTCAGTAGTAGTAGTATTTAGTAAAATTCATTGTTTATAATTTAATCATAAAATAAAAAAAATTGACAATTCAAATTGTCAAACATCTGACATGAATATGATAAAACACACAAGTTATAATATATTCTTGTATTACGTGTGGCCTAACTTTTAGGGGTGGTCTGAAAAATCTATTATATTTTTGCAAAATTTTGAAGTACATTTGATTCGTAGAACGGTTTTAACATTTGTTTTTAATTTAGAATTTAGTCCTCTACAAATAGTTTTTTATGACTTTTGATCTAAAATAATTAGGGAAGCAGCAATTCAACAATTTAAAATTTCCCATTGAGTTTCCTATGGCCCGTTTGACGATTCACCACCCGGTATGCTTTTTTATACCAAATTAAAGCTACTTTTTAATGATATAAGTTTGCCTGAGAAAAATGGTCGTAAATTGGGGTTGCCAATTATTAAAAACCCATGGTTTCAAAGATAAAGTAAAGTAAAGTTAGCGTTCAACGACACTGGTTTGACAAGTGATAATATGTATAATATGATTATATATTATGGACACTATATTATTATATCAAAGCATGCTTTTAAAAACTCACACAACTGACACCAGCCATGTCAAACCAGTGGCGTTGCGTGCAAGTTGGTATCCCAAATGCTTATTTTGGTATTGTTTAATATTAATAAACTTTTAATGAATTTTCTAAGATATATAAAGATCTAAACAATCACGCTCATCACATCACAATGTATATTTTGTCAACGAGTTTGGAAATTTAGTGTTTATTGCAATATTTTTTAGTCCGAGAAAATATTTTTTGCCCTTTACGAATGCCCATGGTATAACTGGGATAAACGTTCCAATGTTGCATTACGCATGTTAATGCAACTTACAGAAGAACCCGTTCGTCTATGTAAATATCAGGCGTCAGCAGATTTCACTATATACATACAAGTAAGTACATCGTTTATTACGATATTATGCAAAATACAGTTGGAAAATGTCATTTGAACTCTCTCTATAAATCAAAAGTAAAAAATGAAATACTGTTTATTTAATAATATTTAATGTTTCTGTTCCCCACAATCTCACAATCTCTCCTACAATCTACAATCTCCCATTATGTCTGGCATTTATAGATTATGAAAAAGCTTTTGATAGTGTAGAACTGTGAGCAATAGAAAAAGCATTAGTCAATAACTTAATCGACTCCAGGTACAGAATACTAATACATAATATTTACGAACAAGCTGAAATGATAGTGACATTGAGTAATGGAATCGACACAAGACCAGTAAAAATCAACCGAGAAGTAACACAAGGAGACACATTATCTCCAAAATTATTTACAGTTGCCCTAGAAGATATCTTTAAGTCAATAGACTGGGAAAATAAGGGAATCCCTATTAACGGAAGATACTTGAACCATCTTAGATACGCAGATAATGTAGTACTAATAGCCGACACGTGGAATGCACTGAATACGATGATTGAGGAGCTACACACAGAATCACTAAAAAAAGGACTGAAAATGAATTTCAGCAAAACTAAACTAATGTCAAACAAAGATGACAAACCTATGATAAACATCGAAGGAACAGAGATAGAACACGTAGATGAATATACATATC